GACTGTAAATATAGTACCCCACCCACAACTCTTTAAAGTAGATATTTCATGAATCCAGGAAAAAGATGCCACTACTTTAAAAAGTACCAAGTAAATGCTGTGGGCTTTACATTCCTATATATTCAAAAACAGTGCATAGCCCTAACAAACATTATTATTTAATGAATTTAAGTTGTTGCCACTGCTTTGAAGTTAAATTTAGGTGTATGGATGCCTCTTTCTTTTCTGTGTAATTTATACCTCTATCTGGACTGGAAATGCTGACATCATCTTGGCCATTCCCACCTGGTCACATGGCCAGCAAGCCACTCCCACCTAGTCACATGGCCGGCAAGTCACTCCCACCCGGTCACATGGCCAGCAAGTCACTCCCACCTGGTCACATGTCTGGCAAGCCACTCCCACAAAGCAGGCCACACCCACAGAGTAGGTTCCAAAAATTTTTGAAACCCACCACTGATTTGGGCATACTCTGGGAGACAGTGGAATGACAGGGGGGCCTGGCTGCCCGTGGTCCAATGTTCAAAAAGAATTGGACACAATAACTAAACAACGATCCCTGCTTACATGCCAAGATCTTCTTTGTCTTCTTTTAGACTGTTCCAACTTTAGGTTTGGTAGCCAAAAGCATTGAGGTTGAATAAACCGATGTCATATAAATTTAGGAAGAAGTTTAGCTTTAGGATGGTTTTTTAAATAGCTGTTATTTTTTTTCCAAGGGCTTGTCAGTTATAGATGCTGCAAGGTTTGGGCAACCGACTGAAAATTATGTTTTTTTTAAATACCCTTTAGGGAATTAACTTGAGTGGAGGTCAACGGCAACGCATCTGTGTGGCTCGAGCGCTCTACCAAAACACCAACCTCGTCTTTCTGGTAAGTGAGAATTTAAAAGAGGCAGAAGGCACTTTCAAACCAGGAGAAAGAAGAATCTAGATTTCCATCCAAAATTATTTTAGATCAGTATTTCCCAACCTTGGCAACTTTAAGACGTCTGGACTTCAACTCCCAGAATCCCCCAGCCATCCATGGTCTTAAAATTGCCAAGGTTGAGAAACACTGATCTAGATTTACATTTTCACCCTGTTCATTGGAAGCAATTGGAGGATGATTTGAAGATAGGCACGAATGCAGAATGCAAGTAATCCTCAACTTACAAGCATTTTTGTTGTGCTACTAGCCAAATCAAAGGAAGAGGAAGCAGTGTGGGAATCAGGGTCAGGATCAAGGCAACCCGAGATCTCCGAGGGGGAAGAGGGAGTGGAGCTGGCAGAGAGAGAGAGGCAGAGGTGGAGCCTGGCCCATCCATCAGCCCTCAGATGGAGAGTCAACAGACCCCAGGTCTGGAAGTGGCTGATGAGGAAGAGGAGGAGCAGCTGGGTCCAGTGCCTGACACATGGATGCACAGAAGGGAGAGGAGAGCAGTGGAAATCTATGGGCCGGTCCTTGGGAAGGAAGAGCCACCGCTGCTAGCAAAAGCCTATCCTAGCTCTGGGGATAAATGGCATGGGTGAAGATGAATAGGTGACCACTATTCATCTTCCGGCTGGCCAGACTTGTTAGCCTGCGGTGAGAGAGAAACTTTTTGCCAAGGCTGCCAGCATTCCTAATAATAAAGAAATCTTTGAGTTCATTTCAAAGGGTTTGTTGTGTTTGGGGAGCTGGGTCAGAACCTATTTGTTTAGTGACCATATGAAGATTCAATGGCATGGAAAAGAGTAACCTACAACCTGGTCCTCACACTTACAACTAATGCACCATCCACATGGCCACATGATCAAAACTCCGGTGCTAGGGGACTGGCATGTATTTGGTAACGGTTGCCGCATCCCAGGCTTCTGTGATTGCCACTTGTGACTTTTCAAACAGCTTGCAACGAAGTCAGTGGGGTAAGATGAATTCACTGAACAGACCACTTGATTCACTTAAAAATGCACAAGAAGATTGCAGAAAGAGATCTGTAATGATCTTCTATTCCCCCCCCCTCCATTAGCACCAAGAGTGAGATATTGAAAATTATTCACGTGAAGGCCTTTCTATGCGTTGCAGAAACAAGGTAGTGATCCCAGAAGGTTCAATACAATACAATAGAATATCTCTTTTATAACTTTTGGAAGAAATGTCCTTCTGCGTTCGGCTCCAAGTGGGGGAAAAGACACTGGAGACATGGAGGCTGCTCGGAAAGATGGTTTTAATGGTGGACAGGACCACATGGCTTGAGTCCTGAACAGAAAAGGTGATCACATGCTTCAATGTTGGTAGAGAAGAGAAGGGAAGGGAAGGAGAGAAGCTGAGACCCTGGTTTTATGCCCTCTCTGGCCTTTGATCTTGATCTTGTATTCTGATTGGTTGTCAGACTCCCATGGGGCCATGCAGGGACATCTCTAGGCTGTCCTGAGTCCCAGGCTTGGTTGAGCCTTGCTGGGTGATGTAATCTTCCCAGGTGCCATGTGGTGAGATTGGGTAGAGGGCTAATCCTATCATGACCTGGAGGCCATGTCTTAATCCCATCATCCTGGAGGTGAAGGGGGGCAGCAGGCAGCTGCAGAAAGCTGCTTTATCTTTAAAAACACGCTTCTTCTTTTCTCATCCAGGGAAATATAATATTCTGCCTTTTTAATATTTCCTAGACTATTTCATTCTTCTAGGAGAAGGGTGGGTGCTAACCAGTGGTGGGATTCAGCCGGTTCGCACCTATTCGGGAGAACCGGTTGTTAACTTTCTAAGCAGTTCAGAGAACCGGTTGTTGGAAGAAATCTCCTTTGGTTTTTTTCCACTTTGCAGGGCTAATCCTGTAAGGAAGGCAGGAAGGAAACATTCTGGTGTTGTTTCTAGCTTAATTTTTATTGCTCTGCTTACAGAAACTGCCTCTCCGGTTAACCGTTACTACATTGTAACAGCTAAGGCGAAGCGCCCATCAACGTCAGCGATGTTGAGTTGGCCACGCCCTCACGGTCACATGACCACTGAGCCCCGCCTACCCAGCTGGTCCTTAGGGCAGAGAACCGGTTGTTAAATTATTTGAATCCCACCACTGGTGCTAACTTCCTGCAGCCCATATGTGGTATCGATAGAAGAGAACATTTGAACCTCAGCTGCAAAGGTTCTCTTCCATCAGCTTCTTCATTCCTTTTTAATTCTTAGATCATTGCCATGAAAGACGGCACTGTTCTTCGAGAAGGGACCCTGAAGGACATCCAGAATAAAGATGTGGAGCTGTACGACCACTGGAAAACTCTCATGAATCGTCAAGACCAGGAATTGGAAAAGGTAAATGTGAAGAACGGGGGAATGAAGGTCTGGTTGGATCCAGACATGTTGATATTTGGTGACATTCCTACCCAAATCTTATTTGTTGGAAGTCTCTTGTTTTTAATCTCTAATGACCTGTGAAGGTTTTAGTGCCCATGCCAAGCAGAAAATTGAAGTCGACCAATGTCAACTGAAGTACACGGAAGCCGTAAAGTTGTAAATTTCTGGTACTGTATAATAGAAGAGCACTACTTTGTCAGAATACAGTGTGTACAGTCTCTTTGCTCTCTTGGCTGGACATCTTCTTCTTCTTCAGACTTTTAACTCAATCAGAATATAGCTGGAAGGGACCTTGAAGATCTTCTAGTCCAGCCCCCTGCTCAAGCAAGACACCCTAGACCAGGGGTGTCCAAACTTGGGTACTTTAAGACATATGGACATCAACTCCCAGAATTCCCCAGCCGGCATAGTTCACAAGTCTTAAAGTACCCAAGTTTGGACACCACTGCCCTAGGCCGTTTCAGATAAGTGCCTGTCCAGCAGTGGTGGGTTTCAAAAATTGTTCGAACCTACTCTGTGGGTGTGGCGTCTTTTGTGGGTGTGGCTTGCTGCCCATGTGACTGGATGGGAGTGGCTTGCTGCACATGTGACTGGATATGAAGATGCCGACGACACTTGTCAGAACCACCTTAAATTACCTCACTCACAGCACTGGCAGGCATAAGAATAGGATGTAAACTTGTTTTTTAAAA